TTAGCTGATCACAGTGTATGAGTCTCTGTGACGCAGCTGTGAAATAGGCAAATGTGATCGTAGGCTATATCAGGCAATGTATTTCCAGTAAAGATAGGCAAGTATTAAGGCAAGTACCCGAGGTAAAGCCTCATCTGGAATACTGTGTACAATTCTGGTTGGCCATGTTCAAGAAAGATACATTCCAACTGGAACAGGTGCACAAAATGGCTTCTAGGATGAACAGGGGAACGGAGATCCTATTTTACGAGAGGAGACTAAAATAGCTTGTCTTGCTCAGCCTAGCAAAAAGAAGGCTAAGAGGAGATATGATTGCTCTCTATAAATACATCAGGAAAGTAAACTCCAGAAGCAATCAGAGCTATTTAAGCTAAAGGACAACGGTGTCACAAGAACAAATTGACCATGAACAAATTTAGGCTGGAAATTAGAAGAAGGTTTCTAATCATCAGAGGAGTGAGATTCTGGAACAGCCTCCCAAATAGGCATAGTGGGATCAAACTACCTAACTAGTTTTAAAATGGAACTTGATAAATTTATGAATGGGATTATATGATGGGTTGCCTCCATGCAAGGGGCTGGAGTTGATGACCCAGAAGTAGTGCTTAATTTGTAATGAAAGAGGTTCCAGGGCTCAAGCAATTTGCTGGTGCAATTTTTTTCCTTTCATAACTGACGTGGCAAGCCCAGAGGTGCAAGGGCTATGAACTGCCAAGCCTAAAGGTGCCGGGGCTCAGACCTGGCAAGCCCTGGCATAAATTAAGTACTGCTCAGGAACTCCCCTCCAGTCCTGATATCCCTGCTGAACTACACTTCATGAGAAAGGGACCTCTTATTCATGAGGTCTGGTGTTCTCTAATGGTTCATTAGAGTTTCCATGACTAGCTCTATTAAGTCCCAAAATCAAGCTTCTGGGCTGGTGGGAATCAGGAGGTTGACCAAAGGTCTTGTTTCCTGTTTCAGTGTACCCCTTATGTGACTTGCCTTGAAAGGCACCAGATTCTTCTCTGCCTTAGCTATTACTTACACTGCTTCTGAGAGGAGCTTTCAATTTCTGGCTATTCTTTTATTTCTATTCAGAAATGCCACTAGTGATGCATTCAAAGTAAATCAGAAGGTTACAGCTGAGGAGATTTTAGAAAACTAGGCAGCACAAGCTGTACACTCAAGAAGTTTGATGCTTTCTTTTTTCTCAGCGTGGCCCATGGCCATCTTGTCTTCCATCTTGTCTTCACCCCATGGGCTTTTTTTTCATAGTGAGTATCTAAGGGTCATTCAGAGATGATTCATGACTGATAACTTTGCATTGCATCTGGTGAGTGATTCCAGGTCTTCAGAAGAATTTTCTGGAGATAAAACTTGTGTGGAATCTCATCCAACACATGATACCAATGCATAGCACCAGCAATTCTAAATATTGCCAGGAAACCACAAATGTAATCAAGTTTTAGATCTTTGCAAATATTTTCTGTGGTGATACAATTTTTGCCAAAGCCATACCTATTTCAACCACCAGGTAAGCAGTCTTCTGGGTTGGGCCCAGAAGCTCTTCTTGAAAGTTAATACCAACAAATGGGTTTGAAACATTTGGCAAAATCAGAGTGGGATTATTTCTCTGGACAGCACTCTGATTGGAATATTATCCATGAGTAGTTATAAATATGTAGCTTGCAAGCTGAGTCTCACTGTGATCAGGTCCCTTTTTTCACCCACAAAAGGGACCACCCACCCCTTCTCTCTGATCATTTGACCCCAAATGTTTAGAGCCAGGAAGCAGATAGTTTAGAGGAGGTAACTTCTCTAGCTTACTGCTCTATTTATCTATAGGACAGGTACACCAAATGCAGCGCATACTGCTCCAGAGATAATGACATAAGAACGGCCATACTGGGTCAGACCAATGGTCCGTCTAACTCAGTATCCTGTCTTCTGACAATGGTTGGTATCAGATGCTTCAGAGGATGTGAACAGAGCAGGACAATTTATCATCCAGTTCCAGCTTCTTGCAATCAAGTGGTTTAGGAAAATTCAGAGCATGGGGTTACATCCCTGACCGTGCTGGCTAATAGCCATTGATGGACCTATCATCCATGAACTTATCTAATTCTTTTAAAAACCCAATTACACTTTTAGCATTCACAACATTCCTCTCGCAATGAGTTCCACAGGTTAATTATGCATTGTATGAAGAAGCACTTCCTTATGTTTGTTATAAACCTGCTGCCTATTAATTTAATTGGGTGGCCCCAGGTTTGTGCATGATACAAGAGGTAAATAACACTTCCCTCTTCACTTTCTCCTCACTATTCATGATTTTATAGACCTTTATCATATCAGTCATCTCTTTTTCAAGCTGCACAGTCCCATTCTTTTTAATCTCTCCTCATATGGAAGCTGCTCTATATCCATAATAATTTTTGTTACCCATCTCTGTACTTTTTCCAATTCTAAGGGCTTGTCTGCATTTACTGGAGGATCGACACTACGGTGATCAATGGATCGGCAGTCGATTTAGCGGGTCTAGTGAAGACCCACTAATCAACTGCCAATCGCCCTCCCATTGACTACTGTACTCCACCTGATCGAGAAGAGTAAGGGGAGTCGATGGGAGAGCATCTCCGGTCAACTTTGCATAGTGTGGACCCTGCGGTAAACTAGATCTAAGCTACGTCTGTTTGATTTATGCTATTCACGTAACTCAAATTGCGTAGCTTAGATAGACTTTCACCTTTAGTGTAGACGAGGCCTAGGATATATTTTTTGAGATGGGGCAACCAGAACTTCACAGAGTATTCAAGCTGTGGACATAGCATGGATTTATTTAATGGCATTATAATATTTTCTGTCTTATTATCTACTCCTTTCCTAATGGGTCCTAAAATTCTGTTGGATTTTTTTGACTGCTGTTGCACCTTGAGCAGATGTTTTCGGAAAACTATCCACAACGGTGCCAAGATCACTTTCTTGAGTAGTAATAGCTAATTTAGACCCCAACATTTAGCATTTATCAACTTTGAATTTCATCTGCTATTTTCTTGACCAGTCATCCAGTTTTGTGAGATCTCTTTGTAACTCTCTGCAGTCAGCTTTGCACATAACTATCTTGAGTAATTTTGCATCATCTGCAAACTTTGCCACCACACTACCCCTTTTTCCAGCTCATTTATGAATATGATAGATGGCACTAGTCCGAGACAGATCCTTGGGGGACCCTGCTATTCACCTCTCTTCACTATGAAAACTGACCATATCATTTAACTAGTTATTCATACATGAGAGATCCTTCCCTCTTATCCCATGACCCTTACTCTGCTTAAGAGCCTTTGGGGAGGGACCTTGCCAAAGGCTTTCTGAAAGTCCAAGAACACTATAGCCACTGGATCACCCTTGTCCACATGTTTGTCGACATCTTCAGAGAATTCCAATAGATTGATGATGCATGATTTCCCTTTACAAAAGCTGTGTTGACTCTTCCCCAACATATCATGTTCATCTATGTGTCTGATAATTCTGTTCTTTACTATAGTTTCCACCAATTTGCTTGGTACTCAGGTGAGGCTTGCTGGCCTGTAATTGGCAGGATCACTTCTGGAGCCTTTTATAAAAACTGGCATCACATTAGCTATCCACCAATCATCTGGTACAGGGGTATTTAAACAATAGGTTACATGCCACAGTTAGTAGTTCTGCAATTTCATATCTGAGTTCCTCCAGAATTCTTGGATGAATACCACCTGGTCATGGTGACCTATTACTGTTTATCAACTTGTTCAAAACCTCCTCTATCGACACCTCAATCTGGGACAGTTCCTCAGGATTTGTCATCTAAAAAGAATGGCTCTATGAGAATCTCCCTCCCCTCCTCTGCAGTGAAGGCCGATGCCAAAAATTCATTTAAGCTTCTCTGCGCTGGCCTTGACTTCCAGGAGGGACCTCTTCTAATGTTAAGAGGGGGACTCATTCAATCTTTGGCTTCTATGCTCAGGCCTGGCAGGATGGCTACTACTACTACTACGGTCACTACTATACCAGGAACAAGGCTTAGGTCAACTCCTTTCTATAGAGCAGTCAAGAGACACTTTTGGTTAGTACCAAATTGGGTTAGATTTACAGTGGTGACTAAGCTGGCTCTTTACTCCCTTTCATGACACATTCTGTTCATCTTGGATATTTCAACAATAAATTAGATATCCTCGGGAAATGATTTTTACTTATCAGGGACTCAAACATGACTTGAGTGGCATTTCTGCATCACAAACAAGAACACAATCTCAAAATACTGGTAAATGCTGAGTTTCAAATATATTAATATTTGTGCTTATAACTGACAGCTGATTAATTTTTTTACAGTTTTAAAGGATAAGAAACTGGGGCGGGGAGAAGGAGGGAGTGTGTACATTAGTAACCCATATCTTTGTCCCGTCTAACAAAAGGAAATCAGATTTCTCCAAAACTGAAATTTCACTTGAGTGGAATTCCCATAATATTTCAGTTCAATCATGATTAAGGGCTTCCAAACAGATGTATGTGTTATAGGTTATTTGCCTTTATGCAGGGAACTTCCATTAATGCTAAAGAGGTTTATGCACAAAGATCAAAGGTTAAATATAGCCCTTAATCTTCTGCTTCATGTTTTTCCAGGATGCAATGGAGAGCATATTAAAAGGGTTATAACTTTACTTATTTGTTTTTGCAGATACATACTGATTACTTCAGTGAGAGACCACAGAGTAACTTTATCCCATATCCAAATTTGTAAACATTTATTTACCCTGTAATAGCTATACATCAGAACTCCTTTCTTCCTATTTCTGCTATATTCTTTTTTAGATTGGATTACCAGAAATAAACTCAGTGTTCCAGATGAGAGCATAATATTGATTTATATCAACCATTTTCAAGAACAAAATGATAACTGGTATTACAATAATTCTGAGGTATGTTAATACCCAGATTTGTAAATACAAATTTTTATATGCACTTTTGTTCTCTATTTTTAGTGGCTTGCCGAAAAGCTCTGGACAGTACTACAGTAGCAGCTCACGAATCTGAAATCTATTGCAAAACGTGTTATGGGAGAAAATATGGTCCCAAAGGTATTGGGTTTGGACAAGGGGCAGGGTGTCTCAGCACAGATACTGGCGAACATCTAGGCTTGGATCTGCAACAGTGAGTTAAATCTCATTGATTATACCTTTTTTTAAAATGTATATACTCCATCTATCGGACACTTCATGAGGTATCCATAACAACATCTAACATAAGTGGCACAATAAACGCAATCATAGGTTTTTCTTCCATGAGTCTCGTCATTTCTGCCAATTTTTAATAATGTTCAGTCTCTTGAAAGCTTTCTTTTTAATTTTTTTCCTATTCCAATAGGCAATTATGGTACAGAAAACCTTGCTTTACATATCACCACAGACCTAGATAGTCACTGCAGCTACAATTTGCTAGTAGTTGCACAATGCCACAATCGTGTTCACCATAGAACAATAGAATCAAATATATTTTCCTCTGAGTGGCTACATTGTACTTATATTTTACTAATATAGTAATAGTCACAGTATGCTGTGCTGTTAACTTTTCTCTCTCTACAGGAAAATATCCATTATAAATCCTCTCTCATGGGTCACATACCATTTTGAGGATATATGACTCAACAGAGGGATAGAATCCTGACTGCAGATAACTGCTTATGTCACTATGCTTTTATAATTTTTTTTGTGATTTTCAAAGCTGCAAATTTCTAAAGGACTCCAACATTTTCCTCTGGCATTACTGTAATGAAGCTAATATATCCATACTGAAGGTACAAACTTAGAGAGCGTCTTTATCAGTATTCCTTTGTCACAGGTGCATTCATTACTGAGAGTGTCACACCAGGAATTTTTAACTTTCTGTAGACTTAGTGACATGTTTTGCAGTTTGACAATCCAGGAATTCAAAGGTCACTCCATGAATGACTAAGAGCTGACACTGGGTTGGACTGATAGTTCAGAAAAATGGTTTCAACCTATATTTCTGCATCTGACCTTGACATAGTATAGGCCTTTTGAAGGCAACAAACAAAAACTACTTGCTGATGCTTTACAATGAACAAAGAGGACAGCATTTCAGATTCCTGTCTCTTTTTATTAACCTCTCACTAACAAATCCCAGCAGCTAGCTGATTAGAGAAAGAACACTGAATATTGCTGCTTTGTATTTTTCAGTATATCTTTAATACAGATATTTTTATTAGACTCCCCCTTTGCCTCTCCCTTTCTGTTAAATACAGTCTTTTTTGTGCACATGGCCACTGCTATCCTTATGGCTAGCTGTAATATTATGCCCAGCTGCTATTCACTAAAACCAAGGCAATGTCATCTGCTACCTTAGCCATAGCAATAGCTCCTTAGCACTGTAAAATGCACTTACTTCTGTAGAATTTTTTTATTTTCTTGTATTACACATCAAGCTTCATGTCCCGTGACTTAATACTGTAACCCTTCCAAAAAGTATATTGAATTGGAAGGAAGATTTTGAGAATGGAAACATGATTTTTCAAGCAATGTTTAAATGTACTGAAAATCTCTATGTTTCTGTCAGCTCACCAAAGCCTGCTCGCCCTTCTACGCCTACCAACCCTTCAAAGTTCGCCAAAAAGTTTGGAGATGTGGATAAGTGTCCCCGCTGTGGCAAATCAGTATATGCTGCAGAGAAAATAATGGGAGGAGGGAAAGTAAGGGATTGTTGCATGTTTTTTATTCTATTATTTTAAAAGATCTTTTAAAATTGTTTGGTTTTAAGTTTTGCTGAACTATACCAAATTGAGAGAGCTTCCTCCCCCGACATAGCTTCTGCCATTCGCAGAGGCGGTTTTATTATGCTGGCATTGGCATTGAGCATCTTCACGAGACACGCTGCAGCAATGCGGCTGCGCCGACTGCAGCTCTGTACATGTAGACGTGCCCTAAGACACCTTTCCCCCCCACACCCTGCAGCTGCTCCCCTTGAAGAAAGGGACTCTGAAGAAATCTGTTCACAATCCTCAGGTTGCAAACTCATTCTCTGGGATAAGTGTTCTCAAACTTTTTCACGGTATGAACCACATCTTAATTGGGTTTGGTGGCCCCTCGTCACTGTTCACTATTGCAGGGGCCACCTCCTCTCCCTAACATCCCTGTGCCAGCCACAGTACATGCTTGTTTATTTTTTAAGCTTTTAATGATTGTGTAGTGGGAAAAAAAAGAGAAGCCAGTGTCATGTCACCTGCTACCACTTTGTGGACCTAGTTTGGGAACTGCTGTTCTAGGATCATTCACTGCAAATTCTCTGCAGTCTTGAAATTTGAAGGAATGGCTAACATGCAATTGCTGTATAGCCCACGGGGTCTGATTCAAGCGCTGACCACCATCTGAGACATTTCGGCTAGTAAGAAGGTCATTAGGAGTCACATACTAGGAAAGGGTGCAATGACAAAAATCAGCATAGTGACCTATTATGACTAAAATGGAACATGTTACTGAGATGAAATGAAAATTAATGAAACATAATTTCAGCCTTTTCATCCAAAGAAAATATAAAGCTATAACCCTTTATATGTTGCTTGTCAAAGTTTCATACTAGCTACTTGATATAATCTAGGTATGAATTTTTTGTAATGTATAATGTAATGGCTCTGCCTTCTTTCTTAGCCTTGGCATAAGACTTGCTTCCGTTGTGCTGTTTGTGGAAAGAGCCTAGAATCTACAAACGTTACAGACAAGGATGGAGAAATCTACTGTAAAGGTAAGTACAATCTACTTATAAGATATTTCTGCCATATGGTTGAAGATATTCTTCTAAGACTGCTCTACTTGGACAAAGCGTAGGCATCACCACCTATCTGTTAGATACCTGAACTTGGGGGAAAGTAGATTTAGTTTACCCCCTTTCTTTGCTTTAAAGAAAGATCTATAATTTGTACAGTCCCACAGCAACACCACAGTCTCATCGCTTATTGGGAGTGAATTTAAAAAACAAATTATTCTATATCTTCCATCATAAATATTAAGTCTTCTAAAGTTTGGGATCTCTCTCCACTAAGAATCACATTGATCCTGCAAAATGATTTATGTGGGCAAACCCCTGCATCTGAACTGGTCCTCACTGATTTCAGTGGGTTTCCACAAGGACACAGGTGTCTGCCCACAAGCTTCTCATTATAGGATCATGGTCTTAGTTGAGATTCTTTCCAAGGAATGTTACACTGGGAATCAAAGACCTTCACAAATATGCCAACAGCATTGAAGACAATGGATTTACTTTGGATTTCTCTCTCTCAGATCATGCAAGTCCACAGAGTCAATCCACCTTTAAATAGTCTGAAAAGGGTATAAAGCATTTTATGTCTATGTTCTAGGTTGGGATTGTCAAAGACACCTACGGGAGAATTCGAGAGGAATTCCCTTAGGCCCCCTTTAAAAATCACAGCCCTAATATTTATTCCACATGCTCTGCAAAAAAAAGCATTCATGTGAGTTAGAATTGCCTCTAATATCTATAACCTATTTTTTTCCTGAGTATTTTACAGTACTGAAAGTTGTTCTGAGAGGAGCCTGACTGGACCTCAGACAGAGCTAACAAGTTTGTCTATCTCAAAAGCAACAAGAGTGAATAAAGTTGCATTGCCAGAGTTGTAGATGTGCCTGAGAAAGAGAATCCATGTTTATTTTATTCTTACAGCCTTCCAAGTCATTGTACTTAATTTACTATGATTTCCAATGAGTTTTTTTAGTATTACTTAAAATACATAAAAATATTCAAAATATTAATTACTAACTTCTTTCTCCATTTCTTTTGCAGTTTGCTATGCAAAGAATTTTGGTCCTAAAGGAATTGGGTTTGGTGGCCTCACTCAAGTGGAGAAGAAAGAGTGAAACTTTCTATATCAGACACATTTCATACTTCTGTTGATGCCACAGATTGATTGTTTGCTAAGTAAAACAGTGATGCATTGATAAGATTGATAAGAACCTAGGGCATTTTAAAATAACTTCTGCTTCTCCGACCTCACTGGAGTGATTTGTAAGCTTATTTCTTAAGAAATTATTGCAGTAGCTAGAAAATACATTTTGATAAAATGGATTTATTCTACACTGAAAAAGAGCCTAATATTTTGCTAAATTCTAACTTAGTTGTGAACAATAGTATTTCTTACACTACTACTTATCGTGTTAAAAAATGAGGTTATAATAGCTCTGTGGACTTTGCTACTAAGAGGTTATTATCCTTGGTAAGGGGCCATAGGAAGGTGTTTTGGATTTCTACCACTCCAACAGAGCAGAATCTTGTCCATATTGTCTATCCTAATTCCTTAGTGAAATACATTCTGATGTTATGGTGGTGCTATGGTATGGGAGGAAATTTTTTTTTAAAGGCACATTCTAATCTGTCACAATAGCTAACAATTTCAGCTCCATCCTCCTGAGTAAAAGAGAAAGGGAGTAAAAGACAGACTTCTTGAATTGGAAGTCATATTTTCATACAAGATGGTAAAATCAAAGTGGATGTTAAATCTAGTTTTGTCACTGTAGGTTTCTCTCGATACAATAAACTGTAGATACTGCTTTTATGCTATGACTGGTTACATTATTTTGCTCCTGTTTTGTACTCTTAACCCTCAATGTGCTCATCTAGTTCACCAGGCTAAACAAACTATTCCTATATTGAAACTGTGAGAATTCTCTGGTTTTATTTCATTCTATTTTACTGCTAAACTGCTTGTAATAGATCATATTTTGAATCTCCTCAGCTTATTGCTCTCGATCTGGGCTTTTTTCCTCTATTTCCAAAAATGTCACTTTTGTTCTTCTCTACTGCAACATAAACCTCCCAGTAGGATACAGTGGGCTCATGCTGTGTGAAGTACATTTGACGTCTCTGAAAAGTGACTCACATCACAATATATATTCTCCAAATACAGTATTAATTCCTTTAAATTTATCAAGGACACAAGTATATCACTTGGGACTATGGCAGCCCTATGCTTGTGGCCTGAAATAATGTGAAACAATCTTATGCCTGTACCATTAGGTTTTGGTCATGTACCTACTAGAGACTGAGCTATCCTTTTCCAAGTGTCACTGGTGTAAATGAGTGCAAGATTTAGTCTTATGATCAATTCTTGTTAGATGTTTAAAGTAGCAAGATCAGCCTTTGCTGCTGTTATGTTTAATGATTTTTAAATATAAGTTTCATACTTTCCCTGAATATTTAAAATAAAATAAATAAATATAAGCATGAAAGCTAATTTATTTAATGTGAAGGCAAACAGTAAGTCTAAACAGTGATTCTGTACAGATTTACATAGTATAAAGACAAATAAGTTACCAAAATACAAACTAGTATTAAAAACCTTTTGAAATAGCCAATTCAAAAATGTTAAAAATATTTTATTTCCCTTAACAAATGTGTTCTTTGTAGACATATGAATCTGAAAAATTAATCAAGAGGTATTAAATAAAAATTCTGGAGTGCTGTATAAAAATCTCTCATAAAAATATATTTTGAGTGACATCTCATAGTTATATGAAATTTCAAATTGTTTCAGTTGAAAGTACATACCACTGCAGCAATTCTTTCACTTCTGTTTTGCTGTAATTTATGATCATTTAACTTTACTATTTAAACAATAGTAAGAATATAAAAAATTAAGGCAAGAGAGTTTCAGAATAACTTGCAAACAATATAAAGAATATCCAGTTTTATTTAGCTTTCAGCTCAGCTCTAAGAATTTGATGTTGCTTTTCTTCATACAGAGTGAACGTTTTTACCTTTTGCTGGATGAAATGTTAGAGTATATTGTTTAGTCCAGTCGACTATGTTGGGCTTGAACATACCAAAGCAACTGCACTGAAAAAAGTCTGCAAGGTTCTGGAAGCATCCGTGACTGGAAGTCAGAGAAATATCTATTAATAAACTTAACAAAAGAAGAGGGCCGACACAGAAAATATGGTACACTAAAGAGCATTTTAAGCACAAAGCTGACAAGGAGAGCTCTTGCAGAAGAAATAGAAAAACAAACATATTTTCCCCCTAAATAGCCTTATCTATTATATTTTCATAGACTCTTTCCAGCCCATATTACACTTAAATGTAAAAAAAGGAGAATTCAGTAAGTGCTAATTAGAAATATTAGGGTTGATCTGAAATCACAGCCACTAGCACAAAGATAGTGAGAAAGTAAAGATTTCTACTTCAACAGAAACCCTTGAGGGCCAGATTCTCTGTTATGCCAAGTTTTACAGTAGATGGTTATGACACCCTGATTCTCCGCTTGGCCATGGGGCAGGTTAGAGCCCCCATGGGATTTCTTTAACCTATAAACAGTGGGCAACAATCCCTAAAGAGTGTCCGTCAGCTGCGGAGAATCAGATACTTTGGCTATATCTCCTCCCTGCACCCAAGGCTGTACAGAAGGGTTCCACAGTAGCTGACTATTCTGGCTCTTCACCCATTGAAATCACTCCTTATCTCCCTTACTGGAGAGCCCCCTGGTGTGGCTCAGATTCCATCCCCTTTGCATAACTCAGAAGAAGAGGCATATTCAGCATACACCTAGTAAACTACCTTTTCTTTGGCACATACAAAATAGTTAAACATTTTATAATTAAAGATGATTAATCCCATTTCCTTAAAAATAATTCTCTTACCAAAAATACTTACTTGTATGGAGATTTCCTTAGAGAAACAGCATGCTTAGAACACTTGCTTTGTATTATGAGGTGTAGTCTCTCATGTGAGGTCAAGCCCAGAAATGCAATCTTTAAGGTGAGTGTGGTGGAGGGAAGGAGACAGTTGAAATGTGGATATGTTAAAGCAGTTAAAATAATGGAGACACCGAATAATTTAATTATTTTTTTCTGCATATTTAACACAATAAAGAAACTAGAGTCCAAGTTATTTATAAACATGCAACTAAGGCTGTGATAGAAACCAAGAAGTTGGGAGTATCAGTGCCAAAACTGAGAACTCATCCTTAATTGGGTCATTGTGCCTAGATATTTGCAGAGGTGAAAATGCATGAAATTACCACTCAGAATACAGAGATGGGAAAAGACCTATTACACCATTGAAGCCATCTCCTTGCAAGAACAATGTGCAGTAATACTTTGGCACAAGAGAGCAAGAAGAGGACTGAGTCTGAGCCTTAGTTTTCAAATTTCCTCAACTGCATTTGTTGTCTGACATCTTTCCATTTAAGTATTTTTGCCTATAATTTCCCATTGCCTTTTCTGTTGTGTAACATTAAATGTTAGGTCACAGAGATATTTAAGAATTATTGTCTGGCTGCTGGGCAAGCTCAACAAATATAATTCTAGAAGTTATTAAGTCATATAGATTGACAAGCTACCGTGTGCACAGCAGAGAAGTTGATTGTAAATATTCTGGATGTTTCCAAATATTTTTCCACAGTGTCAAAAAATTTTAATATCCTTTAATATAGTCTAATCTATTTTTAAACACATACAGATCAGTGGTTTCTGAAGAAACCTAGAAAGCTCATTAAAAAAATAATCTTAGCTCTATAAATTTCTTTAACATATGCAAATGTGTATACAGCAGACCCTAGTTTTCTGAACACTGATAAAAAAAATCATTTTTTTGGATAAGTACCAGCCTGGAACAATTCTGTATAGGAAGCCAAGTTATGAATCTTTGAAAAGCAAGGTTTTTTAAAAAAAATTGCTTGATACTCCTAATCAGGGTAGAGCCAGGGTCATATATTTTTATCCTAATTGGATTTTAAATGGATTAATGAAGCACTGCTGAGCTAAAACACACATTTCTCACTTTCAGCACTAATTACACTACTAGGCAAAATGATCAACCATACAATATTTTTAGAAATTGACACCAGTTCTATGTGTCACTTAGAATCTTTTCCTCCAAAAACTACTTTATTTCTTAACAATTTCCCTAAATATTTTTGATTCGCATAAAAAAAAGAGAAAAAACTATAAACAGCAGACTTCTGTTACAAGGTTTTGATTTTGAGAATCTTTTCAGACTGAAAATCTGAAATGATTTCTGCACAAATAGCCATGGAACCAAAGGCTCAGCCCTGGGGGTTTAAGGTGTGGGTCAGCCTTGCACATCACTGAAGCTTGGTACTGATGGGCCTAGGAAGGTTGGTGCAACATAGGGCCTTTGATAAGACAAATCTGCCAAGGAAATTTTTAAAATTCAAAAGTCCTCAAGAAAAGCATATAAATGAAGCAAAAAAGTACCTGATAAAGCTGAATAATTAGCATCAACGAAGCCCAGGAAGTATGAAAACACACTAGTGTAAAAATGTACAAAACCCATGGAGAACAAGACACTATCTGTGTAAAGTAAGTCCACGCTCCATCTTGCTGGTAAGTTGTTGCACAATGTTCTGACCAATCTGAGAATGAGTAAAGTGAGCCTTTACTAAAAAAAAATTAATGAACTACCTAAGAACAGATTAAGACATCTTAGCATGGAACCTGACATTACTAACTCTAGAAACAAGACTTCTAGTATGTTATCACTTACAAAAACAATACAGATGCAGTTACATATTTAACAAATTACAATTAGTATCAGAAATCACAACAAGTTAATTTATTACACGCTATGCAATATCCTACAGTAGTATGGTCCACTTATTCAGGATACCTCCCAGTGAGCCAATTTAAACTGAAGAATTGAAGCTCCTGTCCTAGAAACATCATCATAACGACATGTGAAGATCAGTCTGCCAAGATGGGATAAACAGACCTTTATTGTATTGTTATTAATGTGCATTTTTATTTCATGGAATGGGTACCCTGTGCATTGGATGGACCTAAGAGTTTTTATAAAATTAAATGATACTGCAAGGCAATGACTACTACTTCACTGGGTTAGTATTACTTGAAATTGTGGGTTTAAATAATAATTAAAAGCATCTATAGTTTATGACAGTCACCTTTTTGTTTGCATTTATAAATCCAAGGGATTAAAAAATGAAGTTAATGGAGAACATATTCAATCAATGCCAAGGGCCTAAGCAGTGCTTCACCCAAAGTTACAGAGATATGAAGTGGATTTCTTTAAGTCTTTGAGACATCTACAGCCTGGGTTACGTGCTTTTACATATAAAAATCTAACAAAACTAGGCAAGTTTGTTTTTTAGGTTCCAAATCAGCAAAACAATTACGTACTTAACTTTAAGCACATGCTTAAATCCCACTGAAATCTTAGATTGAAGTTAGTTTTAGGATTTAGACAGCTAAGAGCCATCCCTGGTTTTGGATCAAATGCAATTTTTACTTTAGGAGAACCCTACATTCTTGCACACTCAAGGCTCTCACTGAGGTGCAGGATAAGAATTCAAGATCAGGCCTCATTTCTTACATTGTCATATACCCACTTTACTTCCCTATATGTTAGTACTCCTCTCATTTTCATATAACATTACGCAGAACACAAAGGCCAACTCCTTGCTTGGATTTTTATCCTTTGTTTGGATGTTAATATCGCAGTTCACACACAGGAGGTCACACCATAAGGGCTTTTAGTGCATTAAAAAATTTCTGAATCCACCAATCATAGAACTTGTGAGCTCCAAGGAGATGAAACATGTTTCATAATTTACCAGCTTTATTTTTTAAACCAAAGATGTCAATACTGTAAATTGAATCCACAAATCACATCTCTCAGGAAAGTGGCTGTGTATGAAATGGATGCAGGATGCTTCCTGGGAGCAACAGCTGCAGGAAAATAATTTGCCCTTTCTTTGAAACTATCACTACATTTTTAAAGATACTCTTGGCACCAGTCTTTAACACAGACTTTTCTCAATAACCATAAGATCAGTAAGTGTCTGTGATAATATATTCAGGACCACATTTTCTACTGCAGGCAGAAGAGTACAAGACCACTAGAGTACACACACTTTTATTCCTTACGCCTCTTGAATTTTGTTTCTAGTATAATCTCCACTTCTCTTATGATGTCACATTTCCTAAAAATGCAGATCTCTATAGCAATACCTTTAAAAAAGATATAATTTTTAACTGTTATTAATACAAGACAAAAATGAAACCAAAAGCTCGTTTGTGATTTCAGGTATGCTGGTATTTTTGTTAAAGAGTTACAATGATAGTTCCTGCACAATCAAGATCAGGATTGAGCCACAAAATGACAATATATGAAATGTTAGAAAATGAAGAAAGTATGCAATAGTTCCTTGAAAATGAAATTAAAATGAAATGTATGAATACGTACAGAGAAGAGTTCCATATACCATCCAGACTCCCACCATAGTTAGGAAGAGCAGAAACAAGATGAAATAATAATGGTTGCCAACACCTGTTTTTGGGAGGATGAAGAAAATACTTTTTATTGTGTATCTTAATACCATTAGTATTTTCCCAAAATTAACATAAGTAGAAAGATATCCAACATCATTCAAAGAAAGTTCTGACTATCCCTTCCACCATGCTCAGTAAATGTTACCACAGCTTGACCTAATTCCTTCCCAACTTTCTCACGCTCGTAATCCCAGTTACATCAATGGAACTGATGAGAAAGGTGACAAGTATTTAGTCTGTATTTGCAGCTAGCCTTAACTAGCAACCCCAGCTCTGCTCTAGCTCAAGATAATCACCTCATTATAAAACAGTAAATCTGTACTACTGCTATTGAATTTAGCTATCTGAGCTCTGTGTTCTTCTGCATTATGAACTCACATGTAAGAGACAAAATGGACTATTTTGTGTATTGTATCACACAAACTATAATCTCTCTTTCAATCTTGATTATAAATGTGTTCAAAGCTTTACATCAGAATTACTTCAGTCTAACAAATAACTTTGTATACCTCAGACAGTGCAGTGGAAATTCTAAATATTTACCTTTCCAGTTTACAAGTAAAGTTTGATTTACCTAAACATATGCTTTGAAAAGACAGTCCTGAAGCTTTAAAGGTCCATAACAATCCAAGCTTGTCTATTTTTTTCTCCATTTCCTCCCTAATGATAGTGCTCAGAGCCCCAAGGAACCATTTTAGCTCTCTCACCTTAATGGCTTCACTTCAGAGACCACACAACAAAGGAGAAGGGCTGGATACAGCTCTCACTGGCTGTCAATGTCAATACCCATTCATCTATCAATCACAGAAGTTAACTAGATTGTGATATTAGGTGCTGTCTTTCAGGAGATTAGCACAAGGTGTTTCTAAGTATGCTAAAATAAACAAACTCACCTATACATTGTCCAATCCATAAACAATGTTGGTCATATTTAGCAGTACATGAGTTGCAAGCAATGCAATGCATGGATCTTAAAGGCTTTTTTACCTAGTTGAAAGTGAAAGGGAAAAATGCAGTAATTCACTACATGTATAAATCATGTAAACCACTTATGTTTGCTCTACATTTAAAAAATAATTAAAAAATGCAGTTCCCATTACAGACTTAATGTTTCAACATAATTTAAATGACACAATTATGCATTTTTCCTTTTATAGGTCAACTACACCTATCTATAGTAGTTTAAAGGATTATTTGAAATTAAGGTTAAAGGCACAGAGCCTGCAGTCCTCACTCATGTGACAAGTAATACTGAAGTCAGACCCAAAGGATAAGAACAAAATTATAGTCCTCTTATTCAGAGAACTTTGCACATAACACCCTGTGCATCAAAAAAGGAGTAATAAACATGAAATAAAAACCTCACTTACAAGACATGATGTGCAAAATGTTCTGAAATCCAAGTGGCCAGCTTCTGCAAGAGTAACAATATTCTGAAAGACACAAGTTATTTTACAATTCTATTTATCTAATTTTTCCAGGGGTATCAGGAAGACCAGGGGCTTCTTAAATACTAACACGATGACGAGTCCTCCTCAAGTGTCAAGTATTATTATTAAAAGTATGCAATCAAAATATTTACACTGAGATGAAGCTAAACTATCTCCTGGAGTAGACAAAGAAAGGTACACAGATTCAAGGAAATGCAAGATGAAAGAGACCTATCTGATTTAGTCCTCTAGTACCCCATCCATGCAGGACGTTGTTTTTTATTTTCTTTTTTTGTGAAGTAGTGTCCAGAATAGTTAAAACAATTAATATAATATATATTAGAAACATTCTCAATTTTTAAGAAGTACCTCTCAAGCAGTTAGTAGTACTTCTGACGATAATGAGGGCAGAGGCTGCCACATGTGGTGTTCCCCCCACAATCCCAAGTGCCCATGAAGCGGACCATAGTAAGCTACCTGTTAATTGCATGGCAACTTCTTACCCAATTGCATTTAGTACACAGGGGCAACAGTTGCCCCATTACTTTTCCCAAGTTTCCATAATGTTCAACAAGAAGATCATGAAAATGCTCTTAACAAAACTTACAGCACCCCTAGCGCTGAGCATCAATATCACTTAGAAACACAAACATGCATAATGCACTATAAACATATGGAAACCACATGAGATAGTCACAGTTTGTGGGCCAAGTTCTCTATTAATTTATACTACAGACAACACCAATGGCATTTTATGGGGTGAAACCAGTGTAGAATTCAGCTGCATCTCAAACTTCAACAGATAATTACATGTATGTGAGATGACGCAGAGAGGAAGTTATTTTTTTAAGAAAGCAGTGATAAGAGAAATAATTTATAATATATAAAAATAGATAAGTATTAGCTGCCACTTATGGTACTAAGTGTTAAAATAAATCTCTGAAGACTAAAGGAAATATTACTGTTCACTGTTTAAGTGTAAAATCACAGAAAAAAAACAAATGAACACAGATTATACTGTGGTATATTTTAAGTTGTTTTATGGAGATAAAATACCTTTCTTCTTTCTTCTTCGGAAATCTTAATGTATCCAGGATCAGTTCTCCATGTTTTGTAGAAATAGTAGAGAAGACCCACCACACTGAGGATGAAGGGGATCTGGAAAATTGTGTCTGCTAAATGTAGCATTCAGGTTAAGGAATATTGTTTTACATAAATTTATCAACAACATTTTGTTCTTACAAACAATTATTATACTTTAAAATTAACTTGCATTGCAACCATTTCTGTTTTGTAGATTTGGGGGAGCAAATCCAGAACATAATGGCTGGGAGTTCAGTAAAGTGTATGGGAAAGGTTCAGCAAACATGTATAAGTACGTCCAAAGAGTTTGGCTCTATCAATCAAAACATTTATACCACACTCATGGATCTGTGGGCACTCCCAGAAAGGAATTATGTGCACACATAGGAGGATGGGGGAAACAAAAGGAATGGGACGTACTTGCCCACCACTTCTCCAGTACTGGTCAGGGCTTTCTGTGTTAATTTTGTTCACTATTTCTAATGTACGACCAGTTAAAAGTTTTAATTTTAAAGTCCAGAAACACAGGATTGAACTGACATAAATCATTTAAACTTAAGTTTTTTAAGTACAATCAGAAACTCAAATTCCATATTTACACACTGCAGTAACAACAAATAACTTACTTACAAGTGACACAAATATATACATGCATTCTCAGCTGGAATATACCCACCACAGAAATTAATCCTGATAATCATATTAAGGAGATCTCATTAGAAATAATACAAAAGAAAATGCCACTTAAGGGATGAAGTAATTTAAAATGTAATGCTATTTAATGTAGGAATATATTACTGCTGGTTCAATACAGAAGTTATTTTCAGTTACAAATATCTCCTTACAGGCCTTCTGTTTTAATGGAAATGTTTTACAAAACTAAAAAGATAAAGCCCTCTGTGTAACAACAAAGCAGAATAGAGGATAGTGAGTGCAACACTTGTACATCGCTTTACACATACTATCAATCCATAGCCTGTTATAAGAACTGAAGTATGTTAAAGAAAAGCCATGTACCACACACAGAGAATGCAGCTCAACCTCTGAATGTATATGAAGGCAGGAAACTTTGGAAGTTCTATTTAAAAAAACCCCTAAAGCAGCAGCAAAAAGAGTTCTGAATCACTGTCCTTTCAGAATGTGGAGATGTAATTTACTTTTTATTTATGGGACCCTAATCCAGAAGGCACTTAAGCATGTGTCTGAACACTGTGCTTGATCAGAGCCCTGGCGAGCAAGGTAAGTGGCCACATGAGGAACTAACCTGGAGGGAAAATTGGGTTTAAAAATGGCATACACTAATTTGTATTTGACAAAACATTTTTAAAAATCTACTTTTGTGCCTTCACATTTAAACCTGCTTGTTATCTGATGGCACTGCTTAAGTTTAATCACAGGAAAGCAGAATTCCATCTCCTGGTACCCCTGTAATGTCCAAAAGATAAGAAGGCAAATCTTATAAACAAACAAATATATGTTCTTTGTTATTAGCAATCACACAGAACAAATTATTGTAGCTCTCTAACAACCTCAAAAATAAGTGAATAAGTGAAACTGAAGCTTACTAAAGGTAAATATTATTCAAAAGACATTTTAACATGCCGGCAAAATGTAATTTTGAAGTAATGAACAAAAGCTTTTCATACATTTTTACTCAACTAATAACTCTATTTAAAGGAATATTTGAATATAATGGATGAAGCTTGAAAATCCCAATCTCAATACTATCAACTATCACCCCAAAATTAAATATTATACTCAGAAATTATTCTCTAATCATGTAAACCTCAATTTCTGTCCTCTGATAGCCTTCAGAAGTAGTTCAAAATTACATTATCCCTTCCTAAGGGAAGCAAAACACCAACCCTATGTACACTTACATGTTAGTAGCAAAAGCATACGTATTTGCAGGATTGGGGACAAAATGTATGTGGCATTTCACTCCTTGAGTATAAAGGATATCGGGCAGGAACCAGACAAACCAGGTCATAGACACCCAAAAAATGGAACTTAGCATGAAAATTGCTGGTAAATATTTTAGGTTCTTGAGCCCCACAAATTGCCTGAAAGACATTATTAAAAACATCTATTTCTAAGCCATATCAATTCAGTCAAATATTTAAAAAATTATTATAAAGGCTTTACCCATGTTCATTTTAAGTCTTCATTTAAACTGAATTATAAACTACTGCTCAAAATGCTTGTGGCCTTCTATGGCATGCCACCTACAGTGCAGCTCTGTAAAGGAAATGTCCTGAAGAACACTGTGTTCCAATCTAATACAATGGCAAGAGAATTGGCTTCTTTATTGATGAATACCCTAACATTCGAAGTGTACCATCTATGCTAATTCCTACACAAGGGTAGTACCAATATCATTTCAACAGACACTGGTTTCAAGGTGTTGCAGTGGATCAGAGGTTGGGGGTGATGCTGGGGGGAGGAAGATTTCTCAAACACAATCCAGGATCTTATCCCCAAGGGGAAAAAAAGGTTGAAGCTAACGTACATTTTTGTAATTACTGTTAGAGTGTAAGATCAGCGTGTAGCAAGATCAGAACCTCAATATTTATGTTTAAATTTATTTTTTTGTGTGTAATTCATTTAAAATGGAACAGGACGTCTGAACAATTCTTATCTACCACTTAGGCTTACTGTTACTGGGAGATTAAACAGTTTTTGCATTTGTAACTTTGTTACCTTCTGTAATTGTTTTGATAAACATTTAACCATAGGATTCTTTAAAACCAATACCAAAAAAACACCAAAAAAACCCCTTAGTAGGAAATAATTATTTTTAACCAGTTAATTTACTTACAGCTAAAATGAACTTATAAGACCCTCTGAAGGGAATACTGTATAAGAGACATACAAAAATAATTCTTATATAAATACATGCACAGAAAAGCTAAGTGCACAAACCTTGTAAGCAGACTTATCCCGAAAAATATGAAGAGAAGCAGACTTCCTTTCAAAAGCCAAGAATCGGAATTTAAGTCCATTATGTATCCTATAGCCCACATCAGTGTCAAGGAAGACAGCAACAGCAGGAAAAACTATCAAAATGATTACTGTTACAACACTATATCTAAAATATTACACAAAGTACAAAACAGCACTTGACACAGCAAATGCGATATCCAAAAATTAATGGGAGTTCAAAGGCAAAGAAAGAATTCCTTGAGGACAAACAAAACAAGCGGGAAAGCAATCTCACTACATTTTGCATTCAAGTTTTTCTCTACAACTTTAATCCATCTCTTCCTCAATCTTTTGGAACAGAGTTAGAACACAGACTATTTTTAACTTCTTAAACCAAATGCTTCAACTTCTATAGAATATTACTAAGTTTCAGAAGTTTCTCTTAAAAAATTATGCGATAGGAACTGTAAGTGTACTATTTCTCTAATAAATAGCAAACTACAAATTAAATTGCAACCATTCTTCAATTATAAAAACCTCCAGCTCTTTATTAACCACATTAGTTGAGAAAAGGTCTAACATCACACCCAATGAAAGGTATTAGAATTTCAACAAATATTAATTTCCTATTGCACATCTCAAAAAATTCTAATGCTACATTTAAAACCTGGTGTTTTTTTCCTATAGAAATTAAACCATTGCTGAACCTTAAAAAATACTGAGAGATGGTTTTGCATCATCTTAAAAGGGTACTGAAGCAATTCCATTAGTTTTACCTCAATTAGCTTACTAGAATATGAGCCTAAGATTCTACCAAGTCTACCATGTATCTTGCTATGCATGTCTGATTTACTTTAAAACCATTTACATACTATGACTAAACAAAACCCCAAAATAGATACAGAAGAGTGCTGAACCATTATACAATATTCATACAAGAATAAGAACATAGGCCTAAATTTTCAAAAGCTGATAGGGATTTGAGGAGTTTCAATTTCTAGATGCCCAACTTTAGACGACTTAAAATCCTGACTCCTTCTAGAGGACTTAAATTGGGCTCCTAGAAATTGAGGGCCTCCCCCTCAAAAGTCACTTGAAAATTTAGGCCTAAATGACGAACATAAACCCAGTACTCTTCTCAATGGCTTAAATGGAGGCAAGATTAGATCACATAAATCATATACATTAATATATATGTAAAAATGTCCACTGCTGCAGTCCATGATTTGTTCCAATATGAAAGAAAATACCTCATATTTCGCTAACATCCTGAGTAACCTGGAGTTTTTTCTGATTCTCATTTTTTCTTCTTGAGTTAGCATATGAATAATCAAGCGATTCTGAATTTGGTGAGCAAGGTCAAGCGGTGTGTCTCCCTTTAAAAATAGAAATTAAAGTTTATTTTTCTAAATGTGTTGTACATTTAAATAACAACCGAGAAGTAACAGAAAAATGGAATTATTTGGTGGATGTTTATTTTTCAAACTAATTTAGGTTACCAGTGGCAGGTTAACTGCAGAGCCACAATAAAATTAAGTTAACCAAGTAGACAGTAGTTCTGGCTGCAAATGTTTTCAATGCTAACAAATCTGAATTATCAATTGTACTGTCTCTGAGGAGATGCAATAATCTGAAGTTCTAGCAAAGTCAAAGTAAAGAAATTTTGCATTCCCAACCACAAGGGCAAGACAAAAAAAAAAGTATAAATAAGGATGGTATTATAGGATTCTCACATGAAAATGAAAGAAGATATCATATGCTTCCCAGTGTGGGTAGGCAGACATGCACTCGTTCTGCTCAAGATAGCATGTGAAAAAGAGCAGTGTGGCCATCTTAAAAGGGGTTTGTGTTTTCAGAGGGAAGATGTCCAGCACTTTTGAAAATCAGTCCCTTTAAGGGTCTCAGAGTGGACACTCAAAAAATCACTAGTCACTTTTGAAAATCTCTGCCTTAGTACCTATTCCTCACAATTTCCCTCTGAGGTAGGTATTATTATCCACATTCTATAGATCAGGAAAATGAGGCAGAAATATAAAGTGGCTTGCCTAGGATAAAAGGACATGGGTGTTTCTTGAAGTAACGTAGCCATGAATGTGTGTATTCAACCTCTGCACCACACAGAAACAAATCCCCATCTACATTTTAGAAAAACGGAATACGAATGCCAACTGTTATGGTTGTATTCAGATTCCCATTATAACGGACATCAAGGTCCCAATTACCTGAAACAGGATTAGACAGAGCCCTCAGATTGCTTTCTGAAGTAGTTTCACATTGTTGTACTACACAGAATGAAATGGAATTTAAAAAATTGTACCTTGACATTTTTGATGTCCAAATTAGATCTAGCATCCAGAAGTAGCTCTACAGCATTAACATTTCCTGCTGTAACTGCCCAATGCAACGCAGTATTCTTCTGAATTTTGTCTACAGCACTGAGAGAGGGATTAAACTTTAAAAGAAATCCGGTGGGTTCTGGTCTAGATGAAAATAAACAGGATATACAGACCAGTTAGCAAACAGAAGACAACACATTTTTAAAACACTTTATAAACTAAATTAATCTTCACATCATCATGTGTCTATCCTCATTTTAGGGTGGGAACAAAGATGGATACAGTTGTTAGTGACTTGCCCAGATTATGCAGCTAGTCAGTAACAGAATCAGATTAGAATTCATGACTTCCCAGTAGTTATTTCTCCAAAATACGCCGCCACGTACTTCTCTCGTATGCAAATGTCAAAGCTTCATGTCCAGATTTCACAACCAGAGGAAGACCTCTGTATCAGGGGAGGCTAGAAATTGTAAACCACCCTTGAGATGTCAGGCTGAGTATTCCTCCACCGTGTGTTGTTGTCTGCAATGCTGTCCCACAAGCACAGCATGGGGATGAAACCAAGTTAAGCCAGTGTACAGGTATGGCAACTCTGGACAAGCCAGAGAGTAGCCTTGTTGAGCCTGGTCCTGAATCTGCGGTCAAGTGGACAAGGAAGCAGATGCAGCAATGGACTCTCAAATTTATTTAGTGTCTAAGTAAATTTCCCACCAATGCTTCCACTCTGCGAGGACATAGTTTTCCGCTCCCTGGTGGCATCATCTGTGTATGGAAAAAGGCCAGTCATTCTCTTGTCCAGAAGCAGGTGAGATGCTGTAGCAAAGGGGTGTTGAGTGTGACACCATGGATGATCTTTCCAGTCCCCAGGAGTGGGATTTCTGCCCTGAATATGAGCAGGCCTTTGAGTTGGCACTGTGCATTGTTTCCTATCTGAGGACAGGGCAATCAATCAGCTGGAGACGTATTAAGTTGGTTTCATGTGTCACAGCTCTCCAGGCAGAGCAAACAGTAATCGCACCTTGTGGAAGGTCTGGTGGAGCTATGTGCACTAGCACCTACAGTCTGGAGGTCAGAGTATAGTTCAAACAGCTAATAGCAGGAGTATCAACAAGCTGACTGCGGTGGCTGCATGTTAGACAGGTATTCAGCTGGAGCAAACACCAGGGACAATAACGATGTAGAAAGGACTGAAGGATCTGCTCCCCAGGAGGTTTCCTAGAGTTTTCGGATCAAGGACGTAGGGGAAGAGATCTTCATTTTTAGGTGTTGAAGAGGAGGCTGATATATCAAACCACTGTCAAGTTTTACTCCCAAGTATGTGACAAATGGATGGAATGCCTCACTGTTTGAATGCTAGTAAGTATGAGCTATACGTATAGCTTTCCAGAGTATCAAATTGATTTTGTACTAGCCTTGGGCTCTGCCTTTTTCCTACTGTGATCCCACTTTCACCTATTTTGCCTGGATTCTGGGAGATGGTTTATAGGTGCTGACATTTGAAGACCACCAGTACTAATGCAGTCGCATTAGTGTAGAAAAGATTTAAAAAATTTTTTCTAGCATAGACAAGGCTCCATTGACTGTAGGAGTCTTCATAAATAAGAAATGAATACAGATTCATAGAGGTGCTCACATGTTGTATTTATGGACACACTACTTCCATGATACCTCAAAGCCCGCCCCCCACTTTTTTTTTTTTTTTTTTTAAAGGCTCTACCAATCAGCTGAAATAATTTGTTCTGGGATGAAATTTTTGGCATTTGTAGCCTCTGATTAAAAGAGATGTATTTCATTATTCTAAAAAGCCTATGAGTTATCTGGGTGCAAGAGGATTGGTAACTTTTTAGTTATCCATTACTTACCCAATTACTTTCTGTGCTGACAGCATAAGAGGTGTTTGTCCGCTGAAATCTGTTGTGTCTACACTCTGAGTATGAAAAGATATTGAGATTATTAGATATAGAATTATTCGTAGATTTCAGAAAATAAAAGATACTCTGCCAGATGCTCAGCTGGTGCAAACTGACATAATTCTACTAAAGTTAGTGAAAGCTAGGCCAATTTACACCAGCTGAGAACCTGGAACTCACTTCAGAAGGAATTCCTTTCCTCTTCCTTTCTCTCAATTCTTGTATGTAGTTTCTTTTAGTACAGGTAGGTAGATTCCAACAAGAATAATTAAAGAGAAAATTCTTTACTAGTTTTCTGCCTATGCCTATCTAATTCTATAAGTTAAAATAGCTTTACCACATCAGTATATTTTGGAAGGGAAAAAGAGATTATTTTTTCCCTTTTATCAGGAGAGGTTGGGGGAGGGGGGAAGGAGGTGAACTAGTAATCAGTATACAGTATACAAAAGGAAGTCAGCTATAGCAAATAAGGAAATAACCAATTTTCTACCTCTTGTTCACTGATCTCTTTCCCTGTGCTATTTTCTCCCTTCTCACACACAGGTAGGCCTACCAGAATTACACATTCACAATTTGAAAGCAAGAATTAAGGTTCATGTACAAAAATGAAGTATAATGAATCAAAGGGATTTTTTTTTTAATTGCTAGAAGATTCCCATAGCAATTGAGGTAGCAGAAGAGTCTTCTTAAGCATGTTTGTGGCATATACCATCTATACCTAGACTCCACAGGTTACAATTATTTTACTACAATGGGCTCTAGAATAGAGAGAAAATGTTTATCAAAAACTGTATAATCTTATTGCAAAATATTATCTAAGCAAAGGGTCCAATACTGCAAGCACTTATACACATGCCTAATTTTACTCACAAGATTAAACATATTAACTTTAGTGTGACTACTCACACGAGCTAAGTTACACACATTTAAGGGCTTGCAGGATTGGGACCAAAGTTTTCTAGGCAGTCCTGCATGACACAGCTGGTCTGATCACAATGTTATCCAGCAAAAAAATTCTCTGACACACATTACACTGTCTCATTTCTACCTTTAAATTTAGCTTGCCACAGGTGTCTAATGGCGAAGTTTTAAAAAGAGTTGAGAGATGACGAAAAATATTGAAAAATACAGAGTCAGGTTGATCATGTGTTTTGTGAGCTTCAAATAACAGACTGTTACACAGAGTTCCAGTTATTAACTGAATAATGAAATACTATCTTCTAGGATGTGTTTCAAGAATATATGGTCAGTTATTGCACTTAAAAGCCAGTTATTCATATTGCACTATAGGTTTGCGTAATACTGGACAGGATTGCTTATTTATTTTTACTTCTAAAAAGGCAGGAAGAGGTAAAAAAGCAGGAAAGGCATTACTGTGTATCTCTTTGAACTTGTGGCATAGTGAATATTTGCTTAAAAACTGCTTGTCAATAAAGTTTTTTTTTCATTTAAAAAACAAAAACCAATATCGATAAAATGTATTAGCAAAAGACAACTAGATAGGAAACAACATTTGGATATCTGCTGCATAACTAAAACATACCTGGCCTTTTGATATGAGATAAGCTATTATGGGCATATGCTGAAAGACCACTGCTAAGTGAATGCTGCTGTATCCTTCACCATCAATAAGAGTGGGATCTGCTCCACAATTTAACAACAGTATTACCATAGATAAATGCCCTTGCCTGAAAAGAAATACAAAATCTTTTTCAGAACTCTTTAACATGTAGACACAACAAGAAGTTATGAAAGACCTCTATTCAAATTCATACTAAAAGAATCTTTGAGACTGACAGACTGACTATCCAATAACGTGGAAAACCCCAGGGAAAGCTTTAAAGAAACTTGTTAAGTTTAATTGAGACAATGTTCTAAAAGTATTTTTAACCAATGATTAAAATTAACCTTTGGAACAGTGCTGAATATTTACTTTGCTGTCTGTGTGGAAAATGCTGGCATTTCAATTAATATTGTTAATAAAAGTGAATTAAAACAACCCTTTTATATGAATACAATGTATAAGTCACTCCAAGAAGTCTATATCTTTTGCTTACACAATCATTGATACTTTATTCTCATTCATTTGTACTTAACGCATCTATGGAACATTTCAATTTGGTTATTTAAACCAGAATCATATCTCTGGATATGGGAAATCTAACTTTTGACCACTAGTTTGAGCTACTATAAATTGTACTAAGGGCTAGTCTAATATAATTTGAAAGTTATTTCAGATTAAGGTAGGATATGAATTTAAAGTGAAACAGCTATTCAGGAATAGCTCCCGGTTTCGACACATTTATTTCAAAATGGATTAAGCTAAACCAGCAAAAGATACTCTTATTCCAGAATGAGTATCCACACAGAGAGCTATTTCAGTTAATTTTCCTGTGTAGACAAGCACTCCATTTCCTTTCCTGACCAGCTTACTGAAGTCCTGTCTTGATGGGCAAAAAGGGTACGTTCTTATATTATGTTAAACCCAACTGATTTAGCTAACAATAACTCACACATTTTTAGAAGTCTGGTATAGACACAGCACAGTGCCTTTAATACGTGCTAAATTGGTCAAGTTCAAGCCTGGGCTACTCCCTTAAATCCAGCTAACACATTTGAAACAGTGTTAGTTAGCCATGTTGCATTCTGGGTGGTCTTGGCTATAACTTGGCCAGCTAACTTGCTTTCAGAAGCATTGGCCTGTGTCTTAACAGGCATTCCTTAAGAGGAATTTTCAGTCATATTATTAAGATAATAGGAATTAAAAAATCCTTTTTGCCTGTTAGCCTGTTACCTCAGACACAAGTTCTGAATATTAAGTATTGCTCCATCCATAGCATAGGCCCAAAACATGGATGTACATGATTAAAATACGTAACTAAATAGTAACTTATTTTTCAAGCTCCACAACGGTATGAACCTGGGTATCTGACAACAGGTTTGAGTGCTAATATACACATACAAGCTACAAACTCTTTGTTCCTAAATAAAAGAAATGCAGAACTAACCAGGATGAAGATACTAACTAATAAACAAACAGCAGACGTATTGTATTATTTAATATCGACAGAAGTATAACTGGCATCTATAAGTACCATACCTAATGGCCCAGTGAAGTGGAGTTGAATTTAAATCTCCACCTAGTTGATCCACTACTGCACCTTTGGAAATATAAAACCTGTGTAACAGCAATAAAATAAAATGGTTGAGTAAATAAGAGATACATGAAAAACTAATACCTAGAGAACAGACTGCCCTATTAATGATTATTGTTGTAATAATGATACTTTCACTGGACAGGCAAACACACAGATACTTTTACTGTAACAACTGCTGTTTGGAAAAAGATGCTGCATTTAAAGAAATACAGTAATTAGCAATGCACTTATAACATCAAGCATTACACTACTGAAATTTGTATGCTATGCAATTTATTAGCTCCACACTAACTAGACCTCCTTCCCCCGATTAAAATCTGCCCTGCGCGTTCTTGATAGTGAAATCAAGCAAATGCTTAAGTATTTGCTGGATTGGATCCTTAGGTTTCAGTCCTTCACGCTGCTTCATGTGAGTGGACTCCCACATTTGTGCTAAGCCCCACTGAAGTCAACAGCTGTTCGTCTGCATGGATTTCATCTTTTAGGGCTTGTCTACATGGCGTGTTAGTGCAGACCCGAGATGTGTACATTCTAACGTACACCAGCATGTCATGCATTAACTGGCTCAGGTTGACACTGCTGGTATGCACTAAAAGTTCCCTAGAGTGCACTGATGTAGTCCTGATTCAAACAAACAGTACTATGTTAACTGCAGAAGGGAATTTTTAGTGCACATCAACAGGGTTCACATTGGTCAGTTAGTGCGCAATATGCTGGTGTGCACTAGAATTTACACCCTCGCTGGTGTGTCCTAATGCACCACGTAGCCAAGCCCTTAGAGATAGCAAAAGGACAGAAATATATGTATTTAAAATTGCATATCATGGGTTAAATCCTGCAAGGCACTGAGCACCCTCCATTTCTATGGACTTCAGCAGCATTGGACCCCAAGATGTGAAATCTGTGTTGAAAGTTGAGCGGTAATTCTCTATTTTACTATTTAGAAAGAATTGGTTTCAATTGGCCTCTTTCTCTGCTATTCCAGGGAAGCACCTAGAAGTTCCAGAAAGTAAGAACTCCTATCTGAAATAGCTATTGACAGATAAAAATTTGGAGATGTTCATTTCAAATAAAGATTTTAAAATTTTATTTTGCACCTGAAACCTGGGTGTTCAGAAACATACTGGATTTCATGTATTTCACAAATTCACATTAAAAGAAAGTGAATAGTAATACTATACCATTTCAGCGGCATAACCTATGCAGACTGGATATAGGTAGGTGTATTTTATATTATTAAAACAGTATATGCTATTGACAGGTTTCAGAGTAACAGCCGTGTTAGTCTGTATTCGCAAAAAGAAAAGGAGTACTTGTGGCACCTTAGAGACTAACCAATTTATTTGAGCATGAGCTTTCGTGAGCTACAGCTCACTTCATCGGATGCATGCCGTGGAAACTGCAGCAGACTTTATTTATACACAGAGAATATGAAAAAATACCTCCTCCCACCCCACTGTCCTGCTGGTAATAGCTTATCTAAAGTGATCATCAGGTGGGCCATTTCCAGCACAAATCCAGGTTTTCTCACCCTCCACCCCCCACAAATTCACTCTCCTGCTGGTGATAGCCGATCCAAAGTGACAACTCTTTACACAATGTGCATGATAATCAAGTTGGGCCATTTCCTGCACAAATCCAGGTTCTCTCACCCCCTCACCCCCCTCCCAAAAAACACACACACAAACTCACTATCCTGCTGGTAATAGCTCATCCAAAGTGACCACTCTCCCTACAATGTGCATGATAATCAAGGTGGGCCATTTCCAGCACAAATCCAGGTTTTCTCACACCCCCCACCCCCATACACACACAAACTCACTCTCCTGCTGGTAATAGCTCATCCAAACTGTGTATAAATAAAGTCTGCTGCAGTTTCCACGGCATGCATCCGATGAAGTGAGCTGTAGCTCACGAAAGCTCATGCTCAAATAAATTGGTTAGTCTCTAAGGTGCCACAAGTACTCCTTTTCTATATGCTATTGGTTTCACTTGTTATGAAATATAACAGAAGAGAACATGAAAGACAAGAAAAATATACTGCCTAAGTTATTTATTTACAACTATATGATCATTTGGACACAGACACTACAGCTTACTTTACAAGATCCAGTCTGTTGTTTATTGCTGCCCAATGAAGAAGTGTCACATTTTCTTTGTCTGGTTGTCTGACATCATATCCTGCTTCCACCAATTCCTTGCACCGCTCCAATATGCCATATCTCAGGTAAGAAAAATATTCAGTTTTAGTTGTGATTCTTTAGTATTTTCTAATTTAAAGGTTTTCACATATTCAAAAAATAATAATAAATAATAATAATAATAAAAATCTCCCATTAAGGGCCTGATCCAGCAGTTCCTACTCAGGCAAAATTTCCAGTTGTGTTCAGTAGAAATCTTTCCTGAGCAAGGGTAGGTGCTGGACTGAACCTTAAATTAGTTGACACACACAACCTTACACCAACTGAAACTGATCTGGTTTAGCTACAGCTATTTTTATATTGCTTATGATTAAAAAACATTGTAGAGCATGGTTTTACAGTTCGTTTTCTGATATTAGTTAACAGGGTTGGGGGGAATCATATATTCTGATCTGTTAAGAAATAAATATTACAAATGGCTTTAAATTTAAACAATGTTCACAAATTCCCTTATTTAATATAGCATAGAATACACAACTGACTTACTGTGTAGCTTTGACAATATCACAGCTACTGTAGTCCTCCACAAGTGGAAATGCTGCTTGTATTTTTGATTGATCTTTATGGATGCTATGCCAATTCTGTGCTTGAGGTTGATGGGGGCCATGGCTGTGATGTTTACACTGTGGGTTAACAATGAAAATATTTATCAATAAATATTATTTCAATTCGACACTCTTTGAGGAAGGGTCTGTCTCTTATCTAAGTAGAAAGCACCCAACACACCAGGGGGTGAGGGGAACACTATGTCAATATAAACACATAAATAAATTTAAAGACATCACGAATGTTCATCAATTAAGACATTAATTCTGCATTTCTTGGGTATCCAAAGCTCTCAGTGGAGCCAATAACATTTTGGAGTGAGTAGCACCATACAAAGAATACAGTTTCAGGTACTCTGGGTTCAAATCTACAGGGCACTCAGCACCTTGCAAGATTATGTCTAAGCAAAAAAAGAGATTTGTTTACAATAAAGCTACTCTATAACAATGGTTTCAAAGTTTATACAAACAGGGTATAACTTTGTGTTGTCATGCACAAGAACCAATCAACAAACATGCAAAAACACAGTTATAAAAATATTATAATATATTGTACTCATTTCCTAATGAAAGTGACAAGTGTATTTATTTATTCACTTCCCTTCCTAAAACCTTTTGTGAAAATCAGTTGCTGTTTTTTCTTCCAAAGAAGATTGTATTTCCATAATTGGAGAATATTCCTGCACAAACAGACTAAGATTTTGAAACTTAGGTGCCTCCACTTAGGCAGTTAAATACATATTTAGGCACCTAAATAACAGTGACCTGATTTCCACAGCTGCTGAGCACCTGTAGGACCCTGAAAATTGGATCACTTTAATTTTGGTGTGTAAACATTTAGTTGTTTGAAAATATGGTTAAATCTGCTTCAAGAAGGAAAAAGTTATTATTCACAGCATGATCTGTTTGTCAGTCCTCAGTGAGTAAGGGGTTGCTAACCCACAATACTTTTCATTACAACTGTCCATCTTTGGGATTGGCTAGGATGATATTTTTCATTAGCTGTACAATATTTTGTTTCCAGGTGCATCCCTACTCTCATCCATCTTCACGCTGCTCCAAGATAACACACACATTCCAAACTCCTGTGAACTTCCCTGCAAGGACTGAGGCCACTTGTTGGTTCTCTCAGCCTTTTACCTGAACTACTGAGTGAAATGGGGGGGGGGGGGAGGGGAAGAGGCTGGGACGGAAAACAAAAAAAAGCTTCCAGAAAGGCAAGGGCGGGGAGCAACACGGAACACACCATCGCTACCTCCTCTCCAACTGACCACCAGCACATCCAGAATAGTGCTAGGGCCGATGTGCCGTGACTGTATTCAGGAGGTGGGTACAAAGCAGTACCGGTGCAGACGCTGTCCCACGTGGGACAGGCAGACAGGTGCCTGTCTCTCGTGAACCCCCATTCCGGCTGGGAAAGGGACAGCAGATCGGCCTGCCCCCTCACCCACGGCTGACATGAGCCCCCCAGCGCGGTCCGTACCGAGGGGAACCAAAGCCTCGGGGCGGGGGCGGGGGGAACCAAGCCAGCACCTCCCCCGCCCCCGGTGGGGTGGGAATGGGGAGGGGAAGGGCCTCCACTCCCCAGCGGCAGCGCGCGCCCATCCCGCGGACCCCAGGCCGCTCCAAGGCCTCTCCTCCATCCCCGGCCACCCCTTCGCGCCACAGCGGCTCCTCTCCGTAGCCGAGCCAGTGTGGAGACCCCGCCCCTCACCGCAGGGCCGGCCCCGCCGCCGCCGCCGCCCTCCATGCCGGCTGCTCAGGACACGGGCCAGGACTCTCCGTGCCCCCGGCCGCCTCCAGCTTCCTGCTGCCGCTTCCTGGTTACCGGCCGGTCCCGCGGCGCAGCCAATCACGGGAGGAGTTTCCCTGGGGTGGGCGGGGCTGGGAGCTGCCCCTGTGTGGGCGGGGCCTGAAGCGGGGTCACTGTCCCCACGCACGGGCCGTGCGGTCGGTCATGGGGCCCGGGTTGCCCCGCTATGTTCGTGGAAGCGGGATGTCAGACCCCCCACATGCGTGGCACCCACAAGTCAAAACCCACAGCAAGCTCAGGGCCCACCCAGACATAACCCCAGCCCCACACCTGGCATCCTCATGTCGCCCCTCACCCTTGGGGTGCCCACCTGTCACGTTCCCAGGACAACCATGTATATTCTCCGAGGTGTGGCTCCCCCACGTCATCCCTGTCATGTGGTTCTCCGATGTCACCCACGTAGCAGAATGTCTGTTGTGCCACATATGACTTGCCTCACAATGTCAGCACACCCCATTAAAGTATCATGTCTCGTCTACAACATCACCCCATCACATAAATATTTCCCACGCATAGTATTGGTACACCTTCACGACGACGCAGAGCACAGTGAAAAGTTTCATCCAGGCTTCACATTGTATTGGAATGTTGAACAGTTCCATCGAAAGGTTGTTATGGCCCTAATCCATATAAAAAAATTTAACAAACTGTCACAAAGTTATGTTACTTTGAAACATCATCATGCCACAACACGCTACAGTGTTCTCAAGTTGCATGGCAATGGCATCATGCTGCAGAGGAAGACACCATGATGAAGCCACATCAATTCATTGTGTGAGGTCAGTATTCCTTTACACTATGACAATACAATGGAATTACACATGTTATCACGCATACGAGGGCTGTTGCATGATGAAGATGCATCAAAATATGATCATGTCACATCTGTACATCACAACACAGCAGCTCAAAGTTGAAAGGTGGTGTCATTTGATGACTCCAGAATTATTCTGGGATTATGTTTGCAGCTCATAGGATTGCTTGTGTAAAATCAGGACAATCCCTGAAAAGGGAGGCTCAGTGAATGTGCATTATGTTTTAAATTAATTGCATTTACTGAATTTTATCATTATTATTAACATATTGTACTTTGATATAATCTTTTATCCAAAGATCTGAAATTGCATTATAAATAATTAATTGTGCTTCACAGTTTTCCTATTTATTATTCTCATTTTTCAAATGAGGAAACAGGCACAGGGAATTCAATCACTTTCCCAAAATCACATAGTGAGTTAGTGACAGCGCTAGGATCAGAACGCAGGAGTCCTGGCTTTCCTTCTACTGAAGAAAACACCAGACCAACTAGCATCAGAAATATAAGTGGCAGGGTTCAACAAAACACATAGTATATTGGCAAATGTAGGGTCAAAATGACAACGCAAGCTACTGATAATATTTTAACAGAGAAATGAAAAAAGATGTCAAAGTCTAAGTTGAACACTTATCAGAATATCACCACTATGAAATGTCTTAGATGTATGTGTGTCTGGCTGTATAACAGTTTATGCTATGCAGTGTGACATTTCTGTCTGTGAATGGCTAACAGAGTCTCTTTTTCTTAAAGTATGTCTTTGTGATTTTGAAAAACTACATTTGTATTATGGATAGCTAATATTTTACTGGTCAGTGTCATGACAATCAGCCTGTTGGTCATAAGTTATTCATAAGACACAAATGTAAAAGTCACTACTGTGGATCCACACTCACCAGTCACTGCTGCGAGAATGTTCTTCTATATGCTAATTATGTTAGTAAGGGGAATTAATCTGATTTATTTGAGAAATTCTTAGAGGTGAAAAGCCAGATAAAATTTTTGAATCTGACTTTCAGATGAAGCTAAATGGCATATTGTAATGCATCTAGCAAACAACATTGCAAACCACAGAAAAATTAGTAAAAGTGAGAATAAATCCATTCCTGAGTTGGGATATTATTGTAATGTTTAGAACCATGGAATGTGTTTAGAAGCAGGGTAGGAAATTTCCCACTGTAAATAAACCCCTGCCTCAGATCCCACTTAGTTTGAGTGCGCTCTAGGTCATCAATTTTAATCTGCCCCCAGTTGTGATTGGAAGTTCATTTTTCTTTTCTTAGGCAGTAGTCTTATCTACCTAATGTAATATCTGTTGTATATATTAATATTACACAGGGCCCTATCCTGCTCTCATTGAAGGCAGTGTCAGGGAGCAAATTCAGACTGACTTCTCTGCTACATTTATTGGTCTCAGAGAACATTAAATGGCAGGGGGTGGCTGACTGTGAACAAGTTCAGTTAATAATAATCCTAGGCACCAAAGTAGTACCACACCTTGGTTAAAACATTAAATCAGCATTAAAAAATCTGGTCCTTCCACCTTTCTCTTTGCAGATGATAGGGCCAAAGTGTGTGGAAGCAATGATGTTTTCAAAAGCTGACAAGGCCTTTAATGTTCTCCTGCTGCACTCCATGGTTACTACCAAGCAGTAGGTTGTTTACTGCTGGACACTAATAGAAATTATTTCCTTCACAAGTCATTTGGAATTAGTCTAGAACAAAGTGTTTTTGAACCTGGTTCAAACAACATTGATGGCAGATCACTGTACATGACTCAAGGTAAGGTACTTATTATATTCCTAGGATGCTGCTACTTGTTTTGCCACTGTTCTATGGAGAGAAGTCAGTGTAGCTAGCGTAAGCCTACAAGAGGTAAATAACTGTTTGGCCAGTGATCAAGATGCTACAGAATGAAAGCAAATACAAACTCTAGTTGACAAGTTAATACACATAGCGTATCTTTTCTTTTGCATAACTTCTATATAATACATTTGTGAGATATGAGGAGCAACTCTGCTCAATAAAAGGTTCAGAAGTTTGGTTTGGATGAACACCTCTGGAGTATCTGACTCTTGGGTACAAAAATCATATTGGAAGCTCTTGAGAACAGGCTTTTGTGTGATAATTCCTGCTTCTGGTCATGTCAGAAATACCACAAAAACAACCTTTTTTTTCACAGTATTCTGGTATTTCAGTGTCAGAGGACACCCACAAATGCAGGTGTACAGAAATTAAGGTGAAAGAGAAAATAAATTAGATTTTTATAATCTCAAAATAAGGTTTGATTTGGGTTCCAGTGGATGTTGGGGTGAAAGTTAAATGGAAGTGGGGGGGTTCTCTGTGTTATTTTATCTAAATCTATGCACAAATCCTCGATCTCATGATGACCTTGCAAAACAGATAGAATCAGCAATGGATTATTATCGCAATGTTGGCTATTTTTACATTTAAAATCAACAAAATGTTTACATCCTACTTACCAATCTGTATCTCATAGTTTTTAGCATCTATGAGAAACCTCAAAGATATTATCAGGACAAAAATGGCTTTTCCCAATTTCTACAGGCTAGCTTTTCATTTAAGGCCAAATTCTGATCCTGTTTAGTTTAATGCAGAGTTCTCTGAGGAAGAAATTAGCAAATTTTGTCTTCAGGCAGCTGCTGCATTTGGACATTACCTCTTAAACCTAAGTTTTACATTGGTGATTTTTAGCCAGCACAGCGCATACTGATTTCCCTAGGATTGTTTGATCAACAAGCATTACCTAACAGTGTCAGTGAGCCAAGTAACCTCAGAATGGACTTTAATAAAACCCTTAGGACAATAGCTAAGGCTGAATTGTACAACATTGTAATCTTTTTATTGCACATTTAGAACTGAATACAAGAAAGTAAAACATTTCTTGTCCCTGAATTTATCTATGTTATTTTTGTTTTCCTTCACATTGAAGATGACTGATTTGGCAAGACTTTTTGTGGCCTTGTCTTTAATTTGGGTAACAATGTCTTGGTTCATGAAGGCAATAAACTTTCATTTTCATAAATTCATAGATTCCAAGTCCAGAGGGGAACCTTGTGATCATCTAGTCCTGAGGTTCTCAGACTGTGGTCCGTGGACCACCAGTGGCTTGCGAGCTCCATTCAGGTAGTCCATGGATAGTTCCCTCTAAGGTGCGCACCTGGGCAGCCGCACACAAGAGAACGAAGGGCCACCCACCTAATTAGTGGAGCTGTGCAGACGTGGCCTTGGGGGGAATAGGTGGTAGATGGGAGGGGGCAGTGGGGTGAGAAGAGGGGATTGGGGGGAATTTGGGATGTGCAGAACTGCAGCAGCCAGAGAAAGAGGTGAGTTTTCCCAGCTCCAGGGCTGCGGCTGCCGCGGAGAGACAGCCCTCCTTCCCAGCCTCAGCTCTGTGACTACTGTGGTGGGGGAAAGACCCCCCTCCTTCCAAACCCCAGCTCAGGGGCTCCTGCTGTGGAGGAGAGAGGGCACATCCATCGCATTAGAAAGGTAAGATTACGGATATTAAAATATGAGTTGTGTGCTTTTATTTGTAGAACAAAAAAATGTTAATTATTATTAAGGGTTTTTTTATATAGCACTTTTATCCAAAGCGCTTTACAATAGTTAGCTAATGGTACAAACAGCATTTGGAAAGATCATTAAGTGGTCCGCCAAGACCCTCAGCAATTTTCAAGTGGTCCACGAAAAAGAAGTTTGAGAACCACTGATCTAGTCTGACCTCCTATATAACACAGACCCTAGAGCAATGGTCCCCAAACTGTAGGG